CGGCTATGAGGCTCTCGAGGTGAAATCAGTTTAGCGCATTTTTTGGCATCCGCGAAATCCAGATCGCGTGACGTCCGCACGTGAGCTGTACACAACTCGAGTTTTTCCTCCGAGTGAGCTGAGCGCCAGGCCCGTCTGGCCAACGGGTTGCCCGACAAGGTGGCATGAGTGTCGAGCCAAATCCACCCGGCGCACCGTGAACTCCCCGCGCTGGGTCAGCATTCCCAGCACAAGGAGTGGGGGGCAATTGATGGAGGGTGATTTGGCCCGACCTCGTAGCACAGGAACACGTGTGCGTGACCTGGCAACACAACCGTGACTTGACGAGAGGGACCCACCGAGTCCAACTTAGCCGCTCGGCGAGTTAGGGAACTCACCGGGGACTAGCGCCCGACCAACCTTGACTCCCACCAAGTGTGGGACATCCTGAGCTCCTCCTAGGGCCCGAATTCCTCTCAGGGCCTGAGCTCCTCCTAGGACCCAAGCTCTCCCCAATGAGCTCTAAGCCTCTCCCAAGGAAGGGAGCACCCCGATCCGACTTGGGTGTCCCGAAGTAGGGACACCACGGGCCGATGCCATTGGCTCCTCTATTGAGGATGCACCTCAGGTAGAAAGTAGCTCAGCCATCACCAGTTCCTCGGCATCAGGAAGCTCGGCAGCATGCAGCTCGGCTAAAGATAGCCCGAAGGTCCAGAAAATATCCCTCTGACAGCATCTGCTGAACCTAGAGGCGGTGTCGTACCTGCCACCTCTGAAATATGTCTCATACCCGACAGGTACATGTCCTGCAGGGATGGCCCGTGCTTGCCACCTCAGCCCTAGAAATGGCAGTTGTCAAAGGAGGACAGTGACAGTTACACCCGATCCGGTAGTGGCGGTTGCGCCTGATTTGGTAGAGACCCGTTATAAAAAGACCATAGCCCCCAAGGAGCCAGGGTAATCTCTAACTCTGCGCTTTCTATACTCTTAGCTTCTTTCATACTCTCCATTTCTTACAGAACTCTAACTTAAGCATGGGAGTGTTCCCGCCGGGCGAAATCCCCGGTGAATTCTTCATCTCATCCTTCTTCTCAGGTACCCTTCACCGCTAGTTTTGAGCCAAGTTTCGGCCAGCTATGAGTGCCCAGATTGTGCAGCATCAGTTCGCGTTTGAGAGAGAGAGAGAGAGAGAGAGAGAACTCACCGCCGCTGCCGGTGCCCATATTCACCGCCTCGTCGGTGTCTGATATTTAAAGAGAAGTGAAAGAGGAATGAGAGAGAGAGAGAGAGAGAAGGAGAGGACTCACCGCCGGAGTTGTTGCGTTGGTGAATGTTCGCCGCCTCGCCGGTTGTGTGGCTGCCTGAGAGTGTGAGGACTGAGACTGAGGAGGATGTGAAGAGAAGAGAGGTTCGGCTAAGGGGAAAGAGGTGAAAGAGGTGAAAGAGAAGAGAGGTTCGGCTTAGGGTTTTTTAAGTTTAGTCTATACGTCGGGTTGGGCCGGGCTATTTTGGCAAATCTCAAGCCCAGCTCGAATTTATTGCGGGTCAGGCTTTTTGGCCCGAGGTTAAGCCCATCCGGGGGCCAGGCCAGCCCGTCGGGCCACCCGGCCCATGAACAGGTCTAGGGACGGCTAGTTTAAGCTTTTTGGGTTTTTTTATAGAAATAACCCCCAACAACTATAAATAGCTATATAGGGGTATTTATGTATTTTGCTTTCGGGGGAGAAAGAATGACACAAATGCCCCCAATAGCTATATAACATTTAGTTTGGGGGCATTTTGGGTAAAGTGATAAATAACTTTACAATGACTAAAATACCCCTTCCAACTAAAAAATTGTTAGTTTTTAAGGTATTTTGGGTAATTGAATTATTTTCAATTCATATAAATAGCCCTATCCTCCACCATTCTCATCACACCAATTCAACAATTCTCTTAATCTCTTCTCTAGTTCTCATACTCTCTCAAGTCGCAATCTCTTAATCTCTTATACATTCTCTGATTCTCCAATTCTCAACTTTATTAAAGTTTCAACAAGAAGAAGGCTTACTCAACAATTCATGTATCTCAACTCTCAAGTTAGCAATTTGGGAGGCTTGGACTTTTGGAGTTGAAAGCCTTCAGCCGTTGAAATCAAGTTGGGATTCTGATTTGGCAATTTGGGTAAGTGCAATTAAATTAATTTTTAGTTTTTAGAACTTAAAAAATGGTTGGCTCCTCCCAAAACCAATTCCCCAACATGTTCAATGTGAACGATATTTAGTCGCAACATGGTAGTATTAACATCGATATGGATGCTATTGATATTGATGGAACTTCCACCCTTAGTACTGATACTAGGGGAAAGAAAAAGAAGACCACTAAGTTGATTAGCCTGGTTTAGAAAATATTTAAAATAAAGGAGGTTCAGGGGAAGTGAAAAATAGTTGTTTGCAAAAATATAGGAAATACTTTAGTTATTGTAGCAAGGGTGGTACAGGTCATTTGGGGAGACATTTGCTCACCCAAGAAGAAGAAGAAGAAGAAGAAGGGAGAAAAACATTACAAACACAAAATTGGGCAAGGGATTTTGGTACTTTTAAATATTTTCAAGAAAAAAATGAGGCAAAAATTAGCAAAATACATTGTACATACTGAACAACCATTTTTGTTAGTTGAAAGTACTAAACTTGAAAAATGGTTATGTAATTATGTAAATCCACAATTTAAAAAAGTTTTTAGGAATACTATTAAATCAGATGCTTTAAAAAATTTTTATTCATATAAACAAAATTTAATTTATATGTTATTAAATCTTAATTCTAAAGTTGCAAGTACTTTTAGTATTTGGACTTCTAAATTTAGCATAAGTTATATTTGTGTTACTAGTAATTTTATTGATGAAAATTGACTTTTAAATAAAAGAATTTTAAGTTTTACTAGGCTTGAATGGCCACATAGTGGCCCAGCTATTGCTGCAAGTATTTTAAATACTTTGCATGCTTATGGAATTAAGAATAAATTATTTTCTATTAGTTTTGATAACGATAGTAATAATGATTCAGCAATAAATATTTTAAAATCGCAATTTAAAGTTGTATTTAAATGGTAAATTATTTCATATCAGATGTACATGCATGTCACATCTTAAATTTATGTATTCAAGATGCTTTAAATATTATTTCTACTCACATTTCTAGAATTAGAAATTGTATTATTATATTAAAAGTAATGAAGCAAGCAAACAAGAATTTAAATATTTATGTCAAAATTAAGGTTTAAAATATAAACATTTTATATTATATGTTAAACATAAATTGAATTCTACTTACGTTATGTTAGAAAGTTGTATTTCTCATAAACAAATTCTTAGTGATTTTTTATAATGCAAAATTGCCTATTGATATTATATTTGAGGAGGACCAGGAAATGGAAATTTGTGTAGATTTTTTAAAACATTTTTATGGTGCAAATAATGAATTATCGGTTATTTATTGTCCAACTAGTTGTAATTTAGTTTATCAACTAATGATGATTAGTGATTGTGTTGCAAAATATAAAAAGGATCCACAATTTAAAAGTATTGTTGGAATAATGAAAAATAAATTTAAAAAATATTGGGAGAACATTTCTCCTCTTTATTGTTTAGTTACAATATTAGATCCTAGGATTAAGAAAGATGGTTTAGATATTTTATATGAAACATATTGTGAAAATATGAATATTGAAATTGAAAATAAAAAAGAAAAAATTAATAGTTTATCATTTAAGATGTATAGTTTATATGAATCTTAAGTAACATGGAATAATAAAAATTCTACAACTTGTACAACTGCTTCTTTCACTTCTGAACTTGAGTCAAGTAGTGAAAAAGAAAAACTTTTTTATTTAATAAGAGGTATATATCCATTGCCTCGACAATAAGTTCATTTATTGAACTTAATTTTTATTTACAAGCAAATTTTTCTGCTTTAGGTGATTCTTCCTTCACCTCGAAGGGAATAAATAATTTTGATATTTTAGCCTAGTGGAGTGAACATGCAAAAAATTATCCAGTTCTTACCGCCATGTCACGTGATCTATTAACCCCTTCAATGTCTATCGTTGCATTAGAGTCTTATTATAGTGCAAGTACTAGGGTGTTGGACGACAAGAGAAACTGTATGAATGATGAAAGTTTAGAGATGTGCATTTGTTTTAAAGATTAGTTGGATGCTAAAGATAAATTATAAGATAAAGGAGGGCATGACATTACACCTTATGTTTCACCTGAAGCAGATGATCAAAGTCAAGAACAATAGGAGAAAATGATGAAGTTAATATTTTTGTATACTCAATAGTTATATACCATTTTTTCAAATTATGGTAAATTTTGTTTTAATTTTATTTAATTTATTTGATATTTTTTAATAATGTAATTTTATTTTCAATTTATAACTATATTGTATTTTTTTATATTTTATTATTTTATTCTATTTTCCAATTGTCATATTTCATTCATCCAACCATTATATGTTTTGTATCATTCAAATTTAAATGAAATAAAGTTCTTGTTTTTCTTCCAATTTGTTATTCACTTTGAGTCTTTGTCTTTTTGACTTCTTATTTGGTTAAGTATTTCTTTCATTTCTTTGTTAAATTTCTTATTTTTCAAATAATTCCCAAAGAAAAGTTAAATAATTTAATTTTACTTAACAAAGAAATAAAAATATAAAAATATAAAAAAAACAGAAAAATATAGTTTGACAACCCATGCCCAAGGCTTGGCCAAGCCCGACACAGCCTACAACCTGTCTAGCCCATGCCTCTGACATGACATGGGCCCCACGGGCTTGAGCCATGGACCGTATCGGGCCGACCCCCCAAATTATCCCTGAGAGGACAATAAGGCCCAGATCGGCCAACAGTCCGCACGGCATGGCCCCACTCTGCGTGGGCCGCAGGCGGGCCGGCCCGTTTTACAGGGTGGGAAGTGAATCAGATGCGTGGGTGGGGCGCCGATCTGATCTCTCAGAAATCAGCGTGCATTCATTTTTGTCTTATCAGTTGTCATCGTCAGTATCATTACCTTAGTGGGTAAAGAAAAAGGAAGGAGATCACATTGTGGATGGTTGGTGAATGACCCGCTATCCGCTGTACAAAAATCTCAAGTCTTCTCCAGTTCTCTCCCGGATTTCCTCTTTCTGCTTTCTCTTCGACTAACTAGCTACATTCACTCAGGAAGATCGTCCCTAGCTCGTCTGGTTTTTTGGCAAGTCCGTGGGAGAAGATTTAAAAATATGATGACATAACCATGGCAAGTTCATCCATGATATGGGTAACGGGGTTCAGTCTCTTCTTATTATCATCGTTCAGATTCGGAGTTGCTCAGCCCACCCTCGTCTCTGATGAAGGTAAGACCACACTTCCCCGCACCGTGTGGTTGATTCATAGAGAGAGATGTTCTTTGCCTCGGTGCTTTTATTCTGATTTTCAGTTTTACGATAATCTTCGAAGTTATATATATTGTGTGACAGTGGAGGCTTTGAGGGAAATAGCGAAGAGATTGGGGAAGAGGGACTGGAATTTCAGCGTGGATCCGTGTAGCGGCCAGTCGGGATGGACGACGCCCGGGGCGACGTATCGACGGCTGAACATCGTCGGCTGCGATTGTTCCTTGGTCAACAACAGTGCTTGCCACGTCACTAGAATGTACGTCTCTTTCTTTCTTTGTTCGATTTTACCGTTTTTACGGCATTCTCTTGTCTGCTACCAGTCAACTTTTCACCATGGTAACGACAGTTTCAGAAATTGACAAAGTTCGGCTGTTTAACCGATAATAACGCCCCACGTCAGCTAGCTATCAAGTGTACGTAGATAAAGGCTTCAGCTAATTCGAATTTTTCGGTGGGCTGTTGAATAAATGATAACGCCCCCATTCCACCGGTTGAATGGTTGTAGGCCCCATTTATTTTGACTGGTTTGGTGGACGTTATTATTGGATTCACAGCTGCTGAAATAGCTATGTCTCGTATTCATATGCTCGTTGCGAGTATTTGAAAGACAGCCTAAAGTGCTTTTTTTCATGGAAAATTCTCCGATTAATACCCTTTACTTGGGCTAGTAACATTTTGGTCTCTAAATTTTAAAATGCGATCATTTAGTATCCAAATTTTGAAAGTGTGACAATCCGGTACTTGTGGTTAATTTATTGTTAATTGGCCGTTGAGTGGCATTTAAAAAAGATATAAATAATTTTCTGAGTGTCATCTAATTTTTTTATCAATCATCTAAATATTGACAAAAAAATTAAGGGTCCCTAAATCCTTACCTCTTCTATTTAAAAAAGTTAGGGTCATTCATTCAAATGTAACCCCAATCTTCTTGAATTGAAGAGGCAAAAATTTGGGACTAAATTTTTTGTCAATGTCTAGATGGTTGATAAACAAAATAAAATTACACTTGAAGGCTATCTATGTCTTTTCTAAATGCCACTTAACGGCTAATTAAAGGTAGGTACTAAATTATCACATTTCGAAAATTCGGATACTGAATTATCGCATTTTAAAATTTAGAGACCAAAATGACACTAGGCCCAAAATACATGATACTAATTGGGAATTTTCCCTTTTTTTCATTTTCTAAGAAGATGTCGTATAAAATATGCATTCATGGGTGTTAGACAGCGTGATTTTGCCATGTTTTATGACGTTCTGAAACGCCTTTGTTTGGAGGTGTGGCTCGTTCTAGTACAGCTACACCAGTATCCCATGATGTAAAACGTGTCACACCCCTCCCCTATGTTATTTTTTGACTCCTACTTTTCACCCATATTATTTGTTCTACATTTTATTAACCTTTGTTTGTAAACATTTGTTATTTGATTTATTTTTTATTAAATGTACTAAAATTATAATTTATATATTAATAATTAATTATTATTTTATATATTAGATTTATTAAAATTATTTTTATTATATTTAATACTTTTAATAATTATTTTTATTACATTTACTTATATTATTTTATATTATATTTAATTATTTTATCAAGTGTTTTTAATCCATCGTTGACCTAACTAGTTCAACTATTTGAATCGTCACCTAATCATGATTCTAGGTCCGGTTCTATTAAAACCAATAAAAATTATTCAATTCAGTTGTCAGACCATTGACCCATCCAACCTGGTGACCATGTCACAAATTGCACAATAATGTGTATGCAAACTTCTAGAGGCTATAACTTTGTGTTTTGATTTTTGATTGGAGTGATTTTTTTCTTTTTGATTTTGGGTAACTTTTGAACATCTATTTCCATAAAAAAAACTATTTTTTGGCCTCGAATTACAATTTTTAATATTTTTATAAATAAAAATTTTAAAATTAAATTAAAAATATAAATTAAATATAAAATAATACATATATTACATATAGAATATGATTATATATTGTTTATATTGATAAAATATATATATATATATATATACATATATATATATATATATATGTATGTATGTATGTATCTGTGTGTGTGTGATTATATATATTTATATACAGAATGATAATGTGACATGATCTGACCCATTCAACCCAAATGGTCAAATCGGTGGTAATCGATGACTAGGAGGTAAAAAGAGTTCATACTCCAAGTTGGTTTTAAAACATTGATTTTATGGTACATTATTTGTATAAATTAATTTTAAAATTTCTTTTGATTAATTGTAAAATGTAACCCATATAACAAACATGTTGAAAAAATATATTTATGCATTATAAATAATATTAGTACCAATGTATGTTATATATGTGTCACACATTAACATATTCTACTAACATCATAAATTTATAATGCACACCATGTCACTTTGTTTAATGCAAATTTCTTAAAGTACACCTATGGTTTAGGAAATTAATTAATTATACCCTTACTATTTGAGTACCCTTAAGTTTTCTAACAATTGTCTAAAACCTTTCTTACCGTTAACTTTCCATCACACTCGGTTCACATCTGAAATCACATGATTGATATACTTTTTAAAATTCCTAAAATATAAGGGTGTCAACGGTGCTCAAAAATCCGATTTCGAAATCGAGATTCAATATAATCGAATCGAATTTAGATAATTCAAATATCTAATCGGTCGAATTCGGATATGACCTGATTCGATTCGATAAATATCCGAATTCGACCGATTGTTTAATTCCTATATATAATATATAAAATTTTAAATATTTTATATAATTTATATATAATAATGAAATTATATAAATAATTTATATATTTATATAAATAAAATATCTATTAATTACCTAAAATGACTAATTAGTCAAATTCAAATCAAATCAAATATTCAAATATTTAATCAAATTTAAATTCGAATATTAATATTCGAGAATTCGGATATCAAATTTTTTTAATCAAATTCAATATCCTATTCCAATTCGATTCGTTTACACCCCTATAAAATACCTTTCAACACCATACGAAGCCGCTTCACCTTCTCCTCCTGTCAAACTAAAATGTTCTGTTTCCCAATCAATTCTTCTCTCCGCTACCTTCACCCTCACAGTGTTTCATTGTCCTTTGCACAGTTCTATATTCCCTCAAATAAAATGTAAAAGGATAAATTCGACATTTCAGTTTTCTCATTAATACTTAACCACGGTATCAATTGTAAAAAAAAAACTTGGGTTACAAACAAGTTAATTTCCTAAACCATAAAGGTAATTTGAACAAATTTGCCTTTTTAAAGAAGCTGCCATGATGCCTTCGCAGAATGGTAGCCCCTGTTATTCATTTTTAACACGTTTCACATTGTCGTTAGAGAACAGAAGTTCAATAACATTTTCAAATTCTAGTGTTGATGCTTCAATTTCAGAAACAAGAAAATTAAAAGCATTAGAGCCAACGGTTTGCTTGCCTTTGCCTTATAGAACATAGATGGCAAACTAGTATGGGAGCCATTAGTTTTAATTCTTCAAACAGGGGATAACTGCATAGATTGGCTTTAATTGGGTTTCTTTGTTTTCAGATTTTTTGAGTAAATGCGCAGTTTCTTATGTCTAAACCTCCTTTGATTCGAATTGCAGACTCCTCAAGTCTCAGGGTCTACAAGGAGTGCTCCCGCCGGAGTTGTTTAAGCTTCCGTACCTGAAAGAAATGTAAGAATTTCTCATGTTCCCCACTCTTCATTTAAGCCTTTCTCCACCTTGAACCCTTTAGTTTTCAATTTCAGTATTAACTAACTTAACTGCAAACTCATCTCTGTCTCTCTTTTGCAGTGATCTCACCTTGAACTACCTTAGTGGTGCCATTCCCCCAGTATGGGGTTCTATGCGGTTGGAGATCATGTAAGTATTCCATTCGCTTATTATCACACTGATGGTGTACTACAGCGACCACCATTTTTCCTTTGTCTAAAATTAATCAAATGGTGTGTCACTGGACTTACTGCAGCTCGATTTATGGGAACCGTGTATCGGGATCAATCCCAAAAGAATTAGGGAGTATGACCACTCTCAGAGAACTGTAAGCTTTGATTTTTCCTTCTGTGCTTCAATCTGTTGAGTTATTCAAGTTAATTTATATAATGTAGTTTGAATTTTCAGGGTCCTGGAGGCCAATCACATGTCTGGAGTTCTTTCTCCAGAGCTTGGGAATCTAATCAACTTAGAGAGACTGTATGGCCTTTCCGTCAGTATAAATTCTTTATGTATCTTAGATTTAATAGGGTTTTCTGCAATTTCTATATCTTTAAAGGATTTTATTATATAAAAGGGTCATCTCTCTTCTCTATCTCGTTCCAGCGTGATTTCCTCGAACAATTTCACGGGGCAGTTGCCGGAAAGACTCTCTGCACTGACCAATTTGAAGGACTTGTGGGTTTTTATAAAATTTTGATAATTTTCGTTTTTCATGTCTAAATTTCTTTTCTTTTTTCCTTCTCAATAACTCTCGTCTGTTTTACGATTTGACACTGTAGTCGGGTAAATGATAACAAATTCAGTGAGAAGATCCCTGGTATTATAGGGAACTGGACAAAACTTACCAGATTGTAAGTGTTTCTGGTTTCAAAATCTGATTACCCTTTAGAAATTTACAATTCAAAGAAGGTTCTTTCGTTCTCATTTGCGCAACTTAAATTTGCTTAACAACAGAGAAATACAAGCAAGCGGTTTTGAAGGGCCCATTCCTTCAGAGATTTCTCTTTTAGAGAACTTAACTAATTTGTGAGTGTAAAGCTTCTATGGACCATGTTCTTTTAGAATGTTTGCAGTAAGTCATACTTTCTCTCTTAATCTTTAGTTGACCAACTTCTGGTAGTCACTCTGAGTGAAATCTTCATAAGCAGGAGGATCAGTGACATAAATGGACCTGAAGCATCTTTTCCTCTATTAAGTAAGATGAAAAGCTTGAAGACATTGTGAGTTGAGTTATTATACATTTCTTAGAATCTGTGGAAGTAAGACTATCTGTAATATTTCGTTGTTTAAATTGATATTTGTTTGATTTCTTACCATAGGATATTAAGGAGTTGCAATCTTACTGGAGAGTTACCTCCATATATTGGGGAAATGACAGACCTATTTACATTGTATGTCTCTCTCTCTCTCTCTCTCTCTCCCTCCCTCCCTCTCTTGCTATACATATGTAATGCACATATTTGTTTGTATATGTTGCATTTGCATACATTTGTAGGTTGCTGTCAGAAGAGAAAGAAGGTAAAACAGAAGAGAAAAAGGTGAAAATTGAAGCAATCATATGGACTGGTGGTTCCCACCTGAGATTATATATCAGGGAGTCAGTAAAAATTGCGGAAAAGACAAGTATACCCCTAGGTACATATCAAAACTAAGAAAACAAATAAATGTGCTCCTAACAACACTCCTCCTCAAGTTGGGTTGTATATATCTATCATACCCAACTTGTTAGTTGTTACAAATATCAGTATGTTGAATGCGAGTTACACCCTTAAATGAGAATATTGCCCAATTGCTCATTAGAGCTTACATAAGGAATGCAAATTTCACCAAATTTCACCCCCTCTAGATTCTCAAGAATAAAATTTTTATCCACTTCAATGTGTTTGGTTCTTTCGTGCATTACTGGATTGTGAGCAATGATGATTGCAGCCTTATTATCACAATAGTGACGTTAGTTTTAGAATGTCAAACCCTAACTCAAATATAATGTTTTTGAGCAACAAGATCTTTGCAACTCCATGTTCCATGGCTCTATACTTGGCTTCTGCACTAGACCTTTTCCACAACACTTTGTTTCTTGCACTTCTAGGTTACTAAGTTACCTCCAACAAATGTACACTAAGTTGAGATTATATACTAGGTTACTAAGTTGCTTTTTCAGGTTACTAAGTTATCACCTAGTTTGCATCTTTATATGCTTATACCTTAAAGTTCCCATCATTAGAAAAGAGAATACCCTTCCCAAAATGTTTCTTCAGACATCTAAGAACTCGCTTTACTACTGCAAGATGAATGACCCTAGGGGAATGCATATAGTGACTAAGTACTCCAACTACATAGGCAATATCATGATGAGTCATAGAAAGGTATGAGAGTTTACCAATAAGTCTATGAAACTATCGAACATTAAGAATTGACTCACAATCATCTTCACCAAGATTGTGGTTGTTATCAATGGGAATATCAATTGGTTTAACTCCTAGTTTTTTTGTGTCCTTCAAGAGATCTAGGATATATAATGATGAATATGCTGTTCCACTTTTCTTTTGACAAATGGTAAGTTTTGATTGATGAAAATCAAATGGATAGAAAAGTTTGTTTGCATCAAGCTTATTTCTTATTCTAGTTTCTCTGTTTTTTCTACAGAGACCTCAGTTTTAACAAGCTAACAGGACAAGTTAATAGCAGCTTTAACAGTTTTTCAGAAGTGGATTACGTGTATGTGATCTAATTTTATAGCTATATCTTGTTTTATAAGAACTTCATAAGAGGGTTAGTGCTTAGTTACAATCACTGGTGTGGATTCTGATTAGGTTTCTAACTGCAAACTTACTGGGTGGTCCTGTGCCTAAACAGATGCTGGATAATGGAAGATACATGTAAGTTAATTTTCTCAAGTACTTGGTAATTTTAATGTTGTCTATGGGTGACTAACATCTTTGGTTTTACCAAATAATTTTATTTATCATCATAACTTGCTATTGTCATTTTCATTTCTATTATTATTGCCACTGTTAATTTTATGTGATGGTTGCTCTAATTTCTTTTCTATGCAGTGATCTCTCCTACAACAAGAACTTCACAATAGATGGCTCAGATGCACCGGATTGTCAAGAAAGGAGCATGTAAGAAAATTTTGTAATGTTGCTTCCTTATGACTCTTAATCCATATTTTCTATATACTAAAACAAGGTGTCCGTGCTGCCAGCTTTCCCTATTTATCTTTATCTTTTTGAATTTTTGCAAATTTTCATTCATATTTTTTTGAATTATATCTCTCAATGTTTTTAGAAGTTCTATTTACTTTAACGTCTCCCCTTATCCTACAATCTCTATTCTACCAGCTTTCCCTATTTATCTTTTTTTTTTTTTAAATTTTTGCAAATTTTCCTTCATATTTTTAATTTTTTTGAATTATATTTCTCCACATTTTTAGAAGTTCTATCTACTTCCACGTCTTCCCTTATCCTACAATCTTTCACACTCCCTAATAAATAGGCCTATTCTTGATAATTTTCCTACAATTTTCACATTACCAATACAAAATATGGGTCCCACATATTAACCGATGATTAGAAGTCAGAACCCATGTAGTATACAGGTTCCATACATCTAGAACAATTTTTTGCATGACCGTATAGTGGTTCCTGTTGGAAGGGTTAGGATCCATCATATGGATGGCCAAACCTTGCTAAATGGATGGGCGAAATTAAAAAAATTTCCTAATCCTTCTGGGAATTGAATTCCCTATGTTTTGGAAAACTACATTTTTCCGGATCGGTCTTGCACTAAACCGGACCAAATTTGAAACCAAACAAAGAGGGAGATTTATACCTGATACGGATATCACAAATGCAGATTCCAAGGTGGAAGTTCACACCTAAATTAGTCCTAAAATCATCCTCCATTGAAGATGGTGCAGTGTATTGGTGAAGCTGATTCAACAATACAGTTTTTAACAAAACTACAACCCAATTGCTTGGATCGAATTGGGGAAGGTGAGCCTGAAATTCTTTTGAATTTTTCTTGCAAAAATCAGAAGAAAGCTAATTTCTACCAGTCCTTGAAAGCCTAGGTCGTGATAAGGTTTCTTGGAAGACAAAAGAGAAGAAAAGAGAACAAGAGAGAGTGGTATTCTAGTCTAGTTCGCTCTCTTCTTCTTTTATCTTCTTATGGAGCACTCTCCTAATCAAATTAGGAGATTATCCAAATCTAATTTGGATCTAGTCTCTATTAAGAGATAAGCCTTATCCTCTTAAGAGGATGGGTGCTCTATACCCATTTCCAAACCCAGATTTGACCTAGAGCAAGTTGTCATGTGACAACTTACTTAATCTTATTAATTATGGGCCTTAAGTCCATTTCCTTCAAAGGCTCATGACCCAAGATGTTGCATGGCCAACTTAGGCTTGATTTATATGGCATGGGACCCCACAATGACCTCACATAAGTCCACATGGGTTCAGCCCAACCTCTATGAAAAGGCTTAGCCGAATTTACTACTAAAAGCAATGAACCCCTGAGCACATCACTATGGGCTCAATATGGGCCCAACATTTACACCTAAATGATCATTGAATTCAGACATCCTATGAAGACCCAAGGATAATGGACTTAAGTAAGATAACACCCATCAAGTAATCAGCCCTGTAATGTTCTCTTACACTTAACCTCTCAGCTCATAATGATCAAACACTGCCCGACAGGGAAGGACTTTTCCCCTAGCTGCAAGATGTAGTGTCACACTCTCTACTCGGATAGATCCTGGGAATTAAAACCTTTTGCAAACATTTTTCATGAAACATAATATATCTATTTATATATATATATATATATCAAATATATTTTGCAAAACCAAATCCCAAACATAGTTGAAATCCACTACCGACAGTTTAGGTTTTCATCAAAAAGAGTGTAAGCCCTATCATTCACTTTGTCCGACAAAGGGGCCGATCGTATCACTATGATCACCCACTCAGATGAATTCTCAGATTGCCCCAACATACTCAGGTTTTGACCCTTGATGGATCTCACTGATTGGCATTTCAAAGACAGCCCAATCCAACACTAGTGTAGTACCATAATCAAGACTAGGGGTTATGTGTAACTTTCCAGTTTTGCCCATCAATTTCCAAGGTCTAAGACATAATTGGAAAATGGTCCGGGTTTAGTGTTTCATCCAAATACACACTACATGTGCTTCGGGTCTAACCCTAGCAGCTAAGACAAGCTGCCCCAACTTCTTTGGTAGCACATCAGTGCCAGCCTTGGCAGGATGATCTCCCCAAGTCTATCCAATGGTTGAGAACATTCTAAACTAACACAAGTCTCATAAGTGTCCAGTTTAAGGGGTAATTACACAAAAACATACTAATATCAACACGAAACAATAATGTACTTTTATTCATTTACAATAAATGTATCTGTACGTCAATCTGATTGAAGTTAAGGGCATACACCATCTAAAAGTTCCATACGTTAATCAATGACCAATATTGTACACAGGTGCCATTTCTATTATGGTTAATTACTTAAATATACTCTATGGTTTCTCTAAACTACTTAGATATGCCTTGTGGTTTTGAAAACTACTTAAATATACCTTCTCACCTTCTTAAGTAGTCCGTAGCCCCACTTGACACACATAAGCCCTTTTTAATGAAACATTTACAGCTGTTCATATGTTATTTTTATAATTCTGGTTTTGCCTCTTCCGTCCTCCTCTTCTTTCTTTCTCCCCTTCTTCTTTGGTCCTTGAACCATTGAAACCACCTCTGTTTCACTTGTCACCACTGATTCCCCCTGTCATCAACACTAGCTGCCTTCTTTTTCCACATTTCAATCTATTAGTCACATGCCATAGCAGAGGCTTGAACCAGTTGCAACACTGCCACCACCAAACCAGGCCTCCATTATCGTGAAGATCCATTTCCTTCTCTCACCAATCAATCAGTCAGCCTCCACTGTCCGCTCTCCACTCATTTTTCTCCATTAGGCCCTCAACAAGGTCAAGATCCTGCGGAAGGTCAACCATCGTAGCCTTTTCAACTCCTGTGTTGAGCTAAGACAACCCCTTATGGTCTACAAATACATCCCCAACATGATCTTCTATGAGCACCTACATGGTTTCCATCCTGTTGGCTGTCAATAGTAGAGGTGGTTCTGTGTGAGAATGCTCTAATCTAGAAGGTTTGTTTGTCCACAAGCCTCTGCTACACCTACATAAACAATATTGCAGAGGTGGCACTGTGTGAGAATTCTCTAGTTTGCTTGGTGGGTCCACCAACTCTTATATGATTAGGGTTCAGGGTGGAGCTAGTGGAGCCTTTTGAATGAATTTAGAAGACAAAAAAAAGTAGAGAAGGAGAAGTGAGGAAGAAAAAGAGGGGATTGGTGGTGCTCTGTTTGGTGGTTGAGAAGAGCTCAATTTCTGCTGTGTTTGTCAGCTGCAGTGGAGAAGGAGAAAGAGAGTGGAAGAGGGGAAGGGATGAAGGAGAAGTAAAGGAAAGAAAGAGACAGTTAGGAGGAGGAAGAAGGACAGAGAGTTTGGATGGAGACAATGAACAGAGAATTCTCAAATTAAACCTTATTTGTGTTCTACCATTCTCACCAACACCAACGTTGCAGCGGTGATTGGACTTTGAATGCACAGACAACTATTGCAGTTTGTTTTGGTTCAATATGTCATGTAGGGCGTTTGTCTTTTAATTATAATTACATCAATATTGATATATAATGCTTGACATAGTATATTTTAAGTAGTTTTGGAAGCCATAGGGTATATATAAGTAGTATAGTGAAAGTACATAGTATATTTAAGTAATCAACCCTATGTATTAATTAACTAAATTAATAGCCCCATTAATAACTTGATTAATTAATTAGATTAACTTTAATTAATAATCCAATCAACTTTATTAAATTTAAAAATTAATTTTTATTAAGTTAAATTTTATTTTATTTTTTGAGAAGAAGATAACTTATATTAAAAGGGGGGGGGGAGGGATGTACAAACAGGCCAAAAGCACAAAAGAAAAGCCTGTATCAGATTAAAGATGGAAAAGAGTTAACACTATACAGTATTTGCAACCAGTTTCTCTGTAGCTTCCCTCTGCTCACCCAAAAAGCTGGTGGACCAGCATCCAAGAGAAAATTTTTGAAAAGATCTTCTCACGAACACTATCCATGGAGGAGAAACTATCTTCAAATATTCTTTTGGACCTTTGTTCCCAGATTCCCCACATCACTGCATGAATTATTGCTTTCCAAAAGAGCTTTCCTCTTTTCCCCATCTTTGGATTGGTCCACTGGGTAACAAAATCAGTGACTGAGTTTGAGTTTGGAGGAGTCCAGTTGTAGTTACCATCTAAGAGTGCATCCAGAAAAAATTGCCAGAGGCTTCTGACAAAGCTGCAGTTGATTAATAAGTGGCCAATTGACTCTCCATTCTCAAAGCACATGAAGCAAACATGGGGGGAAATATATCTTCTTCCTAAGTATTTCTTTTGTAGTCTGTCACAGGTGTTCAACTTGCCACAGGCTGTCTCCCAAACAAACAAGGAAATTTTGGGGGGAACAAAGGAGAGCCAAATCCTTTTGTCTGGGAAGGTAGGGGGGAAGGGTTCTCTATTAGCTTTTGAAAGTAGGAGTTGGTGGTGAACTAGCCTGAGGGAGTAAGTGACCAAATTAACTTATCTTGAGATTAGGGGGTGAGGAAGACTTCTAAGATCAAGGAGAGGAGTTGGGAAATATCTGAGATTTCTAATTCTCTTAAGTCTCTACGTAAGTTAAAATTATAAGAAACCTGGTTGTTTGCCAAGAGGATGGTTGAAGAGACTAGAGCATTTTATCTCTTACTATGGAAAACAGGGAAGGGAAGGAAACTGATAGGGGATTGTTTCCCCACCAGAGGTCAGTCCAAAATTTTATTTTATTCCCATTACCCAATCTGTATCTAATGAACGTGACAAAAGTATTTTGGGTAATAAGAATACCTTTCCAAGTATTTTGGGTATTAAGTTAAATTTCATTTTGACACAATAATAATTAATGCAAAGTTATCTAACAATAACTTATAAAAATAAAATCATTTATTATATTAATAATTATTAAATATTAATAAAAA